AAAACCTGAAGCTGCTTTTCCCCTGGTAGGTTGGCTCCCTGATAATTTGCTCTGTTGAAGTCGGTGGTCATCCAGTGTCACCCTGTTTTGACCCCCTCCAATATATGAAGCTGACACTATATAACTATGTATAGTAAATGCCAGCACCCTCCAACAGGTCACCATTGGTGAGACCTATTCAGGCCAACAGCCCTCAACGAAAGACCTGGCGAGGGTCCTGGTGAAAAAGGTACGCCCCACTCCGCCGTCTTCGCGTCTTTCGGCGTTCTCCATCGCCGTACGCATCGGGTGGGTTAGACCAGCGTGGGCGTGGTCCAACGCCAGTCGGTCACCCCACCTCCTTGGACCCGTCGGAGCAAGGAGTCACAAGTACCTGGAGTCGACCCGAGTTCCCTCGTACCTTGGGAAAAAGAAAAACTCAGTTGTACTACTAGTAAGGCACTTGTTACTAGAAGCGATGCACTTGTTCCTAATAGCTTCTTGTTACTACTGTATACCTGATTTTTGATGGGGTCATGTCATGTCCCATTTTCCAAGGTACGAACGGTCCGTCGGGTCCAGGTATATCCATGGCAGGAGCTCACCCGCTGCCCCGAACAGAGCCGACCATCACATCGGCCCCGTCGGATGGGACGAGCCACAGAACACCTCCTGCGAGGAGGCCAACCCATCCGACGGGGCCGTGGATGACAGGGTGTGCCCCAACTTCCGTTCGCGCCCCGAGATCTGACTCCTGGTTGTATAATGACTCCCTAGACATCCAAGACCATTTAAAGCATGGGCCAGACCTGGTTTTTGTAGTGTAAAATCCTTAGTTGATTCGGTAAAGCCTATTAAATTAATGGTTGTTGGAAGCCCAGGGACTTGTCGCCTCCTGTACGACATGATCCTGAACCGTCGTTTGTGGGAACCCGGTTCTGCCAGGGGTGGCCCGAAGTGCCCCAGTGCCGCAGGTGGCGGCATGCGTGGCTGAAAACGAAACAGGGTTCAAACGGCGGGTTTTCAGCTGGTTTAAAGGATGTGAGCGACTGTATAATCTATGTCACATCAGAACTCGGCGGTTTTCATGGTGAACTTTCATGTGACCGACGGACGCCGTCCCACTCCGCTGCGGACCGCAGATCCGTGGCATGGGACCCTTTGGGCCGCATTTGCATGACATCCGCAGCAGCCGGTGAGGCTCGGTGCGGAGAAGGTGGATCCGCTTTTTGGAGCATCCGTTCACTGGCAGATCGAAGGAATTGTATTTGCATTCTTGGCATAAGAGCAATGGCCTCCAGGCTAATAGCCATGGCCTCCAACCTGATAGAATGTAGTTGGAGTGTTTTGAGGTCTTTGAAGGGTTGAAGGGTCGGCAAATAATCCAGTCCCATGGCTAGTTTACCTATGTCCGGCGGAACGGTTCGAAAGCAATAGAAGAGAAGAATCTCCAGGCAGGTGATACAAATATTCAGTGTTGTTGAAGAATCTGAAGCACTCTTGGGCTTTTAGGCATGGTTTGACTTGACCAAAAGTTTCAGTACTTCTACTAACCCTGTGCAGAGGCACATCTTCAGAAAGCGTCCGTGACTCCTTCATGCGAGCCCCTGGCAGGGTGATTCTGTCCGACATCGCAGAAAGCGTGAAAGAGATGATGTGTTGCACGTCGAGTGTTGGCCATGCATGTTGTCCCCGCTTGATGCATGAACAACTCCTGCTAGTCCAAGCGATTCAGGCAGGCTTGAAGCACCAGTTTGAAGAATCGGGAAACATGCAGTCGAATGCTGCGTACTTCCAAGAAGGCACGCAGGCACGAAATTGACTTCCGCGGAGTCGTTTTGGGCAGATGCTGACAACGCAAGTTGACTCGGCCAGTTGCCCTTGGAATGTCCACTCGTTGTATCAGTTTTGCGTTCATCTTCGTGCTCAAGGCACCGGTTTTAAGAGATATTTTATTGGACAGGCAGTTTTGTCCGCTTGCTTCTCAATGAGCTAAGAAAGATAACACCTAGTATAGTCGCCACATGCTGGAGGAAGCCATGAAGGTGTTTCAAGGCCCGGCATGCTTTGGATGATGATACAACTCTTAGTGCTTTCCACCTCATAATTTCTCATTTGCGCCAAGTGGCATCAGCTTTCAGCGCGCCGTCCGCCGACGGTTTGAGCGAGGCATCTCTGCCTGTTCCAACCTCTTCGACCCCGCCATCGTCAGCCATGGCCGTGGCCGTGGCGTTGGGCGGAGAGGCGCCCTCAAGGGCGACCGACTCACTTCGAGGGCTATGCTCCTCACCAGCTCCAAGCTTGACCGAGTAATCGAGTCTGGGCCGAAGGGAGTGTATCGGCTGCCTAGCAGGCAAAGATTGCCAGCATAGGCGGTGAGCGAAAGGATCGAAATGCGCCCAACTGGGGCGCCAGTTAATGAACAGAACTCTTTGTCAGAGGTGCAGCTGAAGCCATGAGCCAGTGAGCAGTAGCTAGTACAGCAGGTCACAAAAGTGAAAAAGCCGATGCTTGGTTTTGCCCAGTCGGTACAACGACGAAAAAGCTGACGAAACAGCCTTTTTCTTCAAGTTCAGTCACCTGTTCCTGTTCGGGTCTTTCTTAATTCACAGCCAGACCCAACTCTCCATTTGGGCTGATTACAGATGCGCCTCGACTTAAGGCTAAAGCTCCACGAAGGACAGGGCCTGGGCAACAGGAGCCACCAAATCTGGGCCGTCCGGATTCGTATTTTCGCGCAGGGAGTGTCCTCCACGGCGACGGGTCCCGGATGGTGCCTCATTCGGATGTTCTCGAAATGGGGTCTGCTTTTCTGGCAGGGATTCGATCTGAGACCTTTTGGATCAAAAAACCGAAGGTCTCAACAGTTCACCTTTGGTCAGTTTGGAGCAACATGTGTTATCTCTTAGTGTTCAAGCCTCTTATGTTTCCTTTTGCGCTATGCCGCTATTCTGTGTTTCTGCAGTTCCAGTTGTTGTTCTTCCGCCAGTGTTGTTTTTGATTTCTACTGTTCAGAATAGTCATCATACTGTTTGTCAAATCTGATGGAGTGTCATTCTGAAGATGATAAAAGACTAACTAATTGCGATGCCCTCCAACCTACTAGCGATGGCCTCCGGCCTTGAAGCGATGGACTCCAACCTACTAGCGATGGCCTCCAACCTACTATAGCAATGGCCTCCAACACTGGCGATGGCGTCCAACCTACTAGCAACCTACTAGCGATGGCCCCCAACCTAGAAGCGATGGCCTCCAACCTACTAATAGCGATGGCCTCCAACCTAACTGCGATGGCCTCCAACCTATGAGCCATGGCCTCCAACCTAACAGTGATGGACTCAAACCTGACAGCGATGGCCTCCAACTTACTAGCGATGGCCTCCCACCTACTGGCTACTGGCGGTGGCCTCCAACCTACGAGCAATGGCCTCCAACCTACGAGCGATGGACTCCAACCTCTAGAAGCGATGGCCTCCAATCTACTAGCGATGGCCTCCAACATGTTCCAACCTACTAGAAAACAGCAGAACATGCCAGAATTTCTTGGCCGCCGTTTGCAGTTTCTTTCGCCATGGTTTGGTTCCCAAGGCACTGAAGAGGGAATTGGGGGTTATCAAATGGCATCTCTATGCATCCAAAATATCATACTTCCTAGGATTCCAACTCATGGTTCTCAGCGAACTTTAAGGATTTTAGATTACATTACAACACCAGGCCACCATTTGTTCAATGGTCTTGGCAAGCTAGGGAGACTCGCGTGCATTCTCCATACGTCTTGGCCACTCGGCAACCTGAGCCCCCTGATGTTGTTTGCGCAAGCTAAGCCAGTTGAGGAGATTGTGTAGACGCGGAGTCGGGCCATCATTGCTCTTTGGATCCATTGTTGAACAGCCGGAGGAGGCGAAAACATCATGAGAACATGAATAATAAACATGGCCCTTTTTGACTGGAGGAACTTACTGCTTGATTCAAGAGGCTTGGCCATTCGGCAGTGCTCTCCTGTCATCCAGCCTTGCATCAACCGCTCGTCGGCGGTGTTTTTCGCTGCGGCCAGAGAAACCCTCAAAGAGCTCTTTTGCCCAGTTCTTTCACTAGGGAAGTGTCCCGAGCTGGCCGCAGCTTTTGAGAATTCGTCCAAGAAATTCGATTGAGTCAAGTCCAGCCTGACTATCTTTTATGCCTACCCCCATGCGCATTCTAGAGTAGCCGGCCAGCAATACACCTTAAACACGGGCTTGGTTTGGCACAACACCGCCCGTGAAGCACAAGAGACGAAGAGATCCTACAACTCAGTCACCTGCAGCTTGGGTGAGTAGGCATCAACAACCAACCTAGAAGCGATGGCATAATAGCAGAAGGAACCTAATTGCGATTACCTCCAACCCAGAATCAATGGCCTCCAATCTAGAAGTGATGGCCTCCAACCTACTAGCGATGGCCTCTGTAAATATGGAAGCGGAGGCCACAACTCAACAACAATCAATGCACTGTCACTCAACCAACACACAATGTATGTGCACCCTTCTCCCAAACCACCAGCACTGAGCGGAAGCGAAAATCTTTCCAACACGCTATGGCTGAGCACGTCGAATGCGCGTCCGCTAACAACACATCAGGGCACGTCTTGAGCCCCAATGGTAGAGGAATGATCTCTTTGGTCAATGGATGTCTTCATTTTCACAGCCTCCAACCTACCTAGTCCATCCCAAAAATCATCAAAGGAGCCAGCATTAGGGCAAACTCACATGATGCAAGCTTCCAGTTTCACGGAATAGGTAAAATATGGTAAAAGAACATTAAGTATACAGCAGTATAGTGGTACATCCCTATTTGGCAATCTGAAAACTGCCCTGTTCCTCTCGGCGGCACATCCAAAGAAATTCTTCTTGTCGGCCTAGCTGCTGAATGTAAAGTTGGGATGCCACTTGGAACCGTTCTCAGATTGCTTAGAGAAAGGTCGTTTCTTGTGATGGAATTCGCGACATGTAGTTACACAATCCTCATGTTGGGAACTGTAATTACAAGGCGTCATTTTCTAGCACGGCACCTTGGGAACTTTGCCAAACAAACAGTCACTGGACTCCCGGGTGCATGGGCTACAGCAGACTGGGGGCGTCTCGATGCCCGACAGATGCGTGAAACCTAAGACCAGGATTTAAGATCTGGGGGATGGGCATTGGTGTTCAGCCATTTGCCTCTTGCCCTCCAAACCCCTTCCATGTGGACTTCTGGTGCTGGGGTTTGGCTGTATATCTTCCTGATCAGTTTCATGTGATTTGATGGTGAAGAGCCATGAACACATCATCAGAGTTTAGGGCCAGTTCACATGAACATCTAAGTTGACAACATGTAAGTTGACAGTGACCTTGAGTTGGTGTACTACCCAAAAAAAAAGTGGAGAACTTTTGAGCTTCTTGGGGGTGGACACCCCATGAGAGTTGGGGACACCCCATTCCAAACCCACCTGGTGGAACCCTTCAGCCTTTCGCCACCCATGCTAGACCAAGTCATGGTGTGGATGTTTCAATGGACCGGATTGGTTTGGGGCTCCCTATTTTTCCAACCCCCCCGGTGACCCATTGTTTTGCATATGGAACCCTTCGTCCCTCACCTTGGACGCTGTGGGACCGGCTTCGCCACCTTCGCTCCGTCGCCGGTGGGACCGCGGGACCGCGGGGGGGCTCGAGCGGATCAGGCGCGGCGCGCTCGGGGAGACGGGAGACGGGTCGATGGGTGGGCAGCTGATGTCTTGACACCTGGGTAGGACCATGTCAGGTCTGTACATCTTTTGCATTTGCCCTCAAGCATTTGGAAAGAAAAGGCACCGCAAAGGGGTCTTCCGGTGCTTGAAGCCGTGGCTCTGTTGAGCTCCTCAGCCACTGTTGCTTGCTCCGCTTGCTCCTCTTGCTTTTCAAAACGCCTCGCCTCTACTTCTGATAGGAGCCACCTAACATGGACGGTGGGTTTTTCGTAAAGTCTGATAGACTGGGATGTACGAAGATGGGGCAAATAGATGCATGGGGCGAATCCCAGCAACTGGGGGATGCTGACATGATTTAGTTGAGACGTTGAGACAGGACACCACGCACTGGATTGGGCCAGTTGATAACAGGTGAATGTGGGGATGAAATACTAGTATGTTGCAAGGAGAGCAAGCGAATGAATCACGGACGTGATGACTATAGCGCGACTTGTTGATTATGGCTTTTGAACAAGGCCTAGATTTGTTTCGGAGAACATCTTCATAGCTGTGGATTGGGGGGGTAAATGGTAAGGTCCAAACTCTTCGGAGGCTGCCGAAGGCTGCCATTCAAGAGACAACCTAGAAAAGTCGAAGTTCCAAAGGCCTTTCTCTCCAGATGCAGACATCAACTGCATCACCCAACACCCAAGCTTGGTGAAGTGTGCCAACCCTTCTCCAAGCCATCTGCCACTCCATGCTGTGCTATCAGGGAGCAGGGCTGCGAGTTGAATATGGCTGCTCGCTTGCAGCTAAAGTGTACAGTCCCCGTTCAGACAGGATGTTCCAGTCGACTCGTTCGGCTGCCAGAAACAAACTTGGGCTCCAGTCGTACCTTCTTATAGAATAAGGAGCCAACAGAGGTTGAAGGACCCTAGTTCAGGTCACGTAACCTCTCTTGGAGGGACTGGGGAGGGTGCCAGGAGACTCCAGTCATACCTTCGGAGCTGGTACGACTGGAGCCCTGACCGGGTAGATATAACTGTTGATTGGTGCTGGAGCCTGTGAACTCAGGCGACAAACGCTTCGGAAGTGTCCAGCGAACTCGCAGATCTCCAAGTTTCTGAACAAAAGTGTCCTGATTGTTGCAGAGAGTTTGTTGGTCACTTCAGCATTGCTCAGGTTACTTCCTTTCGACTTCTTGACACCTTCACTAGCGACAGCATGCGGTAGCATGCGGTAGCATGCGGTAGCATGCGGTAGCATGCGGTAGCAACGTAGCCTCCTCCATACTATGAGGGCTGAACGAACGCCACGGGTTCAGCACTGGTCAGACAGGTCAAAAAGCTGGGTTGAAATGGCTTACACGATGTTCTATGGATCAAGCGCTTAACTTGTTATGGATCGGCCGCTATCCCCCGAATTCCGGCAGAGCAAAAGACACGAAAAGAAAGAAACACATCATACCAGTACCCCCGAAGAGGGTGGTGAATGGACACCCCTTAACAGGCAAGGGGCTATAGATAGACACCACTTGGAGGGTCCTGGTATATGACCCATGTCTGACCTTCTTCACCGAGTCACCCCACCGCCACGTTCCCGTTCCCCCACGTCCGTCCCGAGGCGCCTCCGGGCGCCCCGTGCGCGCGCGGCTTCCGCGCCCCGTGACGCGAGCCATGCCGGCAGGCGCGGGCGGTTGTTGGAAAAGAATGGTGAGCCCTAAGTGAGTCCCAAAAAGAGGTGTAAAACTGGCTGAAAACAATAAAACATGGTGTTTGAAAGCAAACTGCACTGGGTGGTTTCTGTGTTGTGTTGAGGTGCTTTTAGTTGGTTTCAACAAGACTGGTTGAAAGAGGTTCGATTTGGAGATTCAACCGTTGATGAGAAGAATTGGGGATTTCCTGTCGAAAGTCACAGTTTCGGACGCATCGTACAGCACCTTTCTTTTTCTGGAGTCAGATCAAAGAAGGTTCTCTTCACCAAACGAACGTGCTTCTCTTCCACAAAATCGGTTTTGGTGTGTTCTTTTGCAGGGTTGATGGATGATTGGTTTAGGGTTTAGGGTGTTGCTTAAGGTGATCAATGTTTTCCTGTCATCATCAGGTTTTAGTAGTTGAACCTTGTTGTAGTTGAAAGGGTTGTATGAAAAGGTGCAAATAGTGTCAGATGTTCTTTCATATTATGCCATGTCTATTCCTCATGCACACCATAGCGTTCTATCAGTGTATCTGGCTGGTTCACAGATACGGTCGGAGCCGAATCTTTTTTGCAGGCCGTTTCAGAGGAAGAGATTTGTAGGTGTTTGATTCAAAAAGATCTGCCCCTTTGACATCCCCACCCTCCACACCTCGATGCGCCCGCGTTGGAGGGCGAGACCTGGCTACTGACTGTCAGCATGCCTGGCTGTGCTGAAGATGGCCAACTGAGTGCACCCCAACCTCAAGTTCACCAAAGGTGATCTGAGTCACACACAGAGGAAAACATGTGAGAAGAACTCCGCACCAAGCAAGCACACACCAGCATGTGCAGACTTCAACCAACCAGCATGCGAAGAAGACAACAACACTTGCTCCCACCCGGTAGCACTTTTGGAACTCTGCACCACGTAAATACACACCAGCATACTTCGAACATCTAATGCGAAGAAGACAACAACACTTGGTCCCTGTTCACTGATGGACCCGCTCGGTTTTCCAGCCAATGATTGGTGCGGGGCATTCGGCGAGCCTCCTGCGTTGAGTCAGCCATTGAAGCTGGCATTGCTGCGCGGCGGCGTGGGCAGCTTGGAGCACTTCTTGAAGCAGAATGGCATTGCTTTCAAAGCAGCGCCATTTTGCGACATCTGTGAGTGGCTGGCGAAGCCACTGAGCTTCATCTACGGCGACGACGCTGAAGATGTGCGTCTTGGGCCTGCCGGAGACTCATGGCCGCTATAAATTTGTCGGCTGACCCAATCATCCATTTTGTTGCAGTTGAAGGCCTCACTGCCATTTCATCATTTTTTCTAGGGGAGCACGGCACGGATTACCCAATTCCCAGCTAAAAGTGGTTCCACTCCAGCAGCATTGTGCCTTTGGGTCCGCTCCGGCGGCTTTGCATCTTTGGGCCCGCTCCGGCGGCATTGTGCCTTTGGGTCCGCTCCGGCGGTTTTGCGCCTTTGGGTCCGCTCCAGCGGCTTTGTGCCTTTGGGTCCGCTCCGGCGGTTTAAGTGCCTTTGGGCCCGC